ACTTTTGGACCAAAAATAGTGCTGACCAACTGGATCACCCATTTTATTTATCAGACTTTATTCCAAATGATTTGAGGCTGTTGTCCTATAGGAAATGACAAATATTGTGAATTCAGGAAAAAATAACCTTAGGAGGACTTTTTATGAACTAATACAGAATGAATCAAATTTACCCTCAAAGAATAAAGATTTATAACAGCATTCCAAAGAATATTCCACAGGCTCTGCAACCACATCCAAAAGAGACTTGGAACATTGTTGAATGACTGTATGGCTCCAAATAGAACCACTTTTAAAGGTGATCACTCATATGTATAAGTTCTGGAATGGATCCAAATAATAATAATAATTGGTCACTTTTTATGAAGGGCAACCCTAAGACAGGAGGTACTTTTTTATAATATAAAGTGAAATTAAATATATAGCAAAATAATCATAGCATCCTCCCATATTTTCAGAAACTAAAATTAGAAACCCCTCTCCCCCTAGTCATCCCATTTTATGTGCCTTCTATTGACAGGCATTTTATATACTGTAAGGAAGATCTCAATTTTATCTTGTTTCACATTTTCCTTTAAGAGTTCTACAGACTAAGAAATGGGATAACTGAACATGCTTTGTTCCCTAATGAATTGGAGTCACATCTGGAGTCAATATAAATAATTCTTCTATAAAAAATCTTTTATCTAAATTACCTGTTCTGTCTCTGTCCAGGGTTCTGAATTCAGAGAGTAATTGCATGACATTCTGCAGTAATCACTGTCCCATATTACCCCTTAGAACATTGGTGCCAAAATCAAATAGAATTGGAGAGCTATTAAACCACACACGAAGATCTCTGTAGGCTGCATAGGGACTTAGAAATCACATATTAACATTATCTATGTTCTATTGTATTTTCATTTATTTTGTTAAATATTTCCCATGCATTTTAAGCAGTACCAGCTTCACCCAGGAGCATTTTGAGCTGTGCGTTTAACTCCTCTGACTTAGTATATGTAAGGTTTCAATTGCAAATGTGCTCAAGAAAACACATTTTTCCCAGTCATATATGTCAGAAAAGCCACTATCTCTAGCTACTTATTAAGTTAGCTTCTCATTCTTCACAAGGCACAACAGAGTAGATGATTAAGGCACACCTGGTAATGCAAAATAAAATTTTCACACAATTCAGTCATCTGTAAAAGGACAACTTCTTGGCATAATAGCTTATTCTGTAAACTCCTTTCATATGACCACAAATACAGCAAACATAAAGAAAAAACCAAGTGTCTATTACCCTAGAAATCTGTGAAGTTCCCTCATGTGGTTTCTCTTATTTTAAACAAAGTAATCCTGTTCTGAAATATATTGCAGTTATTACATGTTACGTTTTTCTTAGATATTTAAAAGGCCCTCTACTCTCTTCCATATGCAAGCTTTTTGCGTGAGGAATCAAGATTTATTCAATACTAGCTCAGTTTTTTGGATCCATAACATGAACAAAATGGAGTAGAGATTTAAAGATTTAGTCTCTTTTCCTTCATTGTTAGATTTTTACCTATAAAAGTAGGGGTACTATAGTGTTGGCATGGCCAAGATATAAAAATACACATAATATAAATGTTGTCTGGGAGACCATTCATCCTACTTAAGGACAATGTCAAATATCTCTTGTCCTTCCCCCACTTGTCCTTCCCAGAACCACTTTAATAAAGCCTAGTTGACAAAAATTTTAGGGTTTTTTTTTTTCTCTTTAGTTCTTGACTTATTAAACTTTTAAGTCTGGTGTAATTATAGGACCACTATAGACTTCAAATGTAGGTATTTGCTCGTTAGTTGAACAAATATGCTTTCATTACCATGGCACCCCATGTTATAGTATTTAAAGGCTTAGCATATGAATGCTTAATTAGAATGTGCCAGAGACAGTTGTTGAACCCTGGCTCTTCCTGACTCCCTAGACTGGCTCTTAGACATAGCCATTATGCTGTGTTACCTACATTATATACTTTACATACATATGCAATTAAAAACCTAGGAAACTGGGAATGAAAAAAAAAGTTTTTGACCAATAAAAGTAGGGTGCTATAGTTTAAGATGGAGTTGGCTAGCTGGGGTTTGAGTTCTAACCGCCATTTACTAGTCGAGTGACTTTGGGCAAGTCTCTGAGCCTCATTTTCCTAATCTACAAACTGAAAAGGTTATTAGATCAGGTTATATCCAAGGGTCCTTTAATCCTTAACATTCTTTTATTCATTTTGTTTGACTCTGCCTATTTTTGACTTGATTTTTAGTTTGTTTGGTTTTTGGTGAGGCAAAGGGAGTTAAGTGACTTGCCCAGGATTATACAACTAGTAAGTGTCACCACCTAGCTGCCCCAACTCTGCCTATTTTTAACAAGGGTTTTGTCTGTTTTCCTCTATGAGGTGAGAGAAAAAATGTGTTAATTGAAAAAAATAAATTTTTTTAAAATAAACAATAGCAAATTTAAAAACAAAAATAAAATAAAACAAACTTACAGAATAAAAAGAGTCTATGATTCAGTAAGGGTGCAGAAGAAATAAGATGGAGAAAGCTAAATGAATATGCACAGCCTATGAATCTTTTCCTTCCTCTTGACCATGTTTTGATGGACCATGCTCCAGGAATGAGTGATTCACTCACAAAAAGTTCACATTTTCAAATTGCAACAAGAATGATTTAGGTAATGGTCAAGGAAGAATTTCCTGACTGTAAATAGAATAAGGCACAAGAGGGGGTTGTTGTGGGAATATGTGACATCCTCTACCATGAATTATTTAGGAAAAGAAAACTGTCCAAATAGTTGTCCTGAATCATTTTAACACCAACCCTTGTTGAGAGCTGAAATGACCCTTTAAATTCCCCCGATTCTATATTTCTATCATTGTAAAGCTGCTATTGGAAGAAACACCTGGTTTTCACCTGGAAATAGTATATATCACATGTGAAAGTATAGGCTTACCCACAGCATTTTCTTAAATTGTAGCCCATCGCCTGAGCTAGAATGGTTTCCAGTTTGAGAAATAGCAACACTGTCACATGTGCTCAGGGAGATTGGAGGTATAGTTCACTAGCAATCTGTCTCTTACCTTCACTCTATCAGCCCACTGAATCATTACTATATGGGCATGACTGTTACATAGGTTGTTTTGAATACTTGCCTCAAACAATGCATGAGTTCATGAAAATTTTTGTGCAAATGAAATGCTCATTAATTGAAGCATATTATATGTGGTAGGGGAAATAACTATGCAAAGGAATCCTATGATGAAGCATTTTGCACAGCAAATAACTAACCCTTAGTATATTGCTTTCATGTAAACTAAGGTAATAAAAATAATTGCATTTTGCTGTTTGCAAAGCACTTTATGTGCATTAGGTCATTTGAGCTTCATAACTCAGTGAGGTAGAGACCAGAGGTATTTCATACCCATTTCACAGATTATGAAACTGAGGTGCAGAGTGATTAAACAACTTGTCCATGGGCACAGAGCTAGCAAGTCCTCAAGTTTAGGATTTGAATGCATTGCTTTCTGACTCTAAGTCTATCCGCTACCGCCTCTCACCTAGACTACTCCAATTGCTTTCTGGTTGCTCTCTCACCACTCTAATCCAATCAATCAATAAACATTTATTGTTGTTATTGTCATTCAGTCATGACCAACTCTTCATGACCCCATTTGGGGTTTTCTTGGAAAACATACTGGAGTGGTTTGCCATTTCCTTCTCCAAAACATTTATTAAGCACCTGGTATGTGCCAGGCACTGTGCTAAACATTAATCCATCCTCCACTGAGCTATGATTTTTACATAGTGAAGGTCTGACTGTGTCACCTCTCTGCTAAATGATCTCTAGTAGTTAGTTCCCTATTACCTCTAAGATCAAATAGAACTTCATCAGGTATTTGGCATTTAAAGCTCTTCACAGCTGGCCCCTTCCCACCCTTCTAGTCTTCGTACAGTGTACTTCCCTCCACATCCTCTAAGATCTGGCCATACTGGCCTAATTGCAGTTCCTCAAATCTGATGTGCAATGCGCCTCTGCATGGGCTGTCTCCCCACACCTCAAGTCCTCTGCAACTTCAGTTCTAACTCTTGATTTCCCTAAATTCCTTCAGGACATGGTTCAAGTCTTCTTTCTTAAGAGGCCTTTCTGGTCCCCCAAGCTGCCAATGCGTTTTTCATCTTACATCACGGTCCTTTCTGTCTGTATCTTAGATGTATTTCATTTAGAGGTTCCCCTCCCCTCCGCCAAGTGGAATCTATGCTCCTCAAGGGTAGGAAATGTTTTTGCCTTTCTTTTTATCCTCAGTACTTACCACAGTGCCTGGCATATAGTAAGTGCTTCCAAATGTTTTGTGAGAGACTGCCTACTAAACTGAAGGTCCCCAGAGCCACTGTGCTGCCCTCAGTGTTGCATGCCTGTGAAACTTGGACAGGATACCAATGCCATGCCAGGAAACTGAATCACTTCCATTTGAATTGTCTTAGAAAGATTCTGAAGATCACTTGGCAAGATAAGGTAGCAGACACTGAGATCCCTTCTCTTGCTAAACTGCCAAGAATTCAAACCTAATGCAGAGAGCTCAACTTTAATGGGTTGGCCACATTGTTAGAATGCCAAACGTATGTTTGCCTAAAAGACTATTTTATGGGGAATTCACACAAGGTAAGTGCTCACTTGGAGATCAGAAAAAGTAATACAAGGACACTGTCAAAGTCTCTCTGAAGAACTTTGAAATTGATTGCATGTCATAGGAGACACTGGCACAGGACTACCCAGCATGGCATGTCCACATCAAAGAAGGCACTATGCTCTATTAGCAAAACAGAATTGTAGTAGCTCAAAAGAAAGGTGAGATGCAAAAATTTAGAGACATCTCCACCCCAAATGTTCATGTGGACTATTTGTGCCCAACCTGTGATAAACCGTTCTCATATTGGTGTGACCAGCCACAGTCAGATATACTGTACCTTGACTCCAACATAGAGATGTCATTTTGGTCCTCTTCAAGAATGAAAGACAACAACCAATCAACCAACCAACTGGCCAACTGACTCATTGGTCCCCAAGCATGTGGCCTAGGAGTAAAAGGATAATTATTTATTCAGGTTGCATAGAGATGACCCAAAAGGCCATATTACCCAATTTCTCCTCTCTTCAGTTCATGCTTCTTGAACTTCTCAGCTGGCAGTCAAAAACCAAAGCTTTGGGTATGGGGAGATGACCAGGCAACCACCCAGTCAAAGGTGATATATCCCAGGTTACAAAACTCAGAACAGAAGAGATTTGCATTTGGAGTTTATGGGAATCTAAGATTCACCAAACTGAATTCCTTAGTCTTCATCTTTCCTTAAGCCTAAAAATCACATACACACACACACACACACACACACACACACACACAAATACGTAGTGTATACATACATGCACAGTTCTACTAAAGTCCTATACATAACAACCTCCCCGAAATGCCACCTCCTCCATGATGCCTCCTTTGATTATCCAGTTAGAATTACTCCCTTTCTTCTTTATGTTCTCTTTGTACTTTGTACTCCAAGCGAGGCAGCTAGGTGGCTCAGTGGATAGAGCAGTGGACCTGTAGTCAGGAAGACCTGACTTCAAATCCAGCCTCAGACACTTATTAGCTGTGTGACCCTGGGTTAGTCACTTTTAAACCTCTAGTTGCCTTAATCCACTGGAGAAGGAAATGGCAAACAACTTCAATACCTTTGCCAAGAAAACCTCATGGACAGTATTGACATTTTGTGGTCCGTAGAGTCACAAAAAGTCAAACATAATTGAACAACAACTCTAAGTACTTCCAAAATGTACTTCCTATGAAATTTATTTGCATGTATTTTAATCTCCCCTGCTGGTTTATTAAAAGCACAGACTATTATTCTTCTCTGTATCCCTCAAAGCACAAAGTACAGTGCATTACACACAATAACATATAACATGTTTGTTGAATTTAATTGAACTAAAACTTGAATGACTGTCAGAGTACTGAGGTCCACAAAGGTAGAAAACTTGACAAGGTTCACCTTTTCAATATCATTTGCATTGTCAATTGGGAGCCAATCGTTTTCCATTTTTAATGTAAGTTTCTTATCCACTAGGAGACTATTTGATAACACTTTCTCCTGAATACAAAAATCTCCTCACATCTAATTGCAAATGAGAAGTTGCTTGACAAGCCAGTTTTACCAAATGACTGAATTATCTAAAAAAAATTCATCATCTTACATAATTTAAATTCTTGCCCTTTGCTCCACTAGGGACATTTTTGCATTAAAATAATCTGCTTAAAATGTGTTTGATTCTTCCCACATTAGGATGGAGTTGAAAATAAAAACATGGGTGGCATATGAAGGTAAAAAGGAATGAATGGCAAACAAAGTAAGTTGAATAGTTTCTTAATTTATCAATAATCATACATGGAATTTATGAGGAATTGAAGGAGAATCTTATTGCAAGAGCAAAATGAGAATCAGAAAATTCAGATGTGATCGAAATGGTAGTCTAGTCTCTGGAGTAACTATTCTAGCTCCAGGTTCTACAGTGTGTAGTAGGTACTTAATAAATACTTGTTGGTTGATTGATTCCATTCTCTTAAAAACTAACCCACATTTAATTCCTACAAAGGACTTGCTGTGCCATCTGCATAAGGAATAATTGGTTATAAAAATTCAGCACATTTGTTAATTGTAGTCAACTAGCCAATTAATCAAGTCAATTAATAATATTTATTGATTGCTTACTATGACTGTGCTAAGTGCTCTGGAGGATGGAAGGTCAGAGGAGGGGAAGAGTACAAAAGAAGAGTAAGGATCCATATGCTATTGGGGACTTTTTCCTGCTTTTATTAAACTGTAACATGACAGGCACAGGGGGATAGTGGATAGAGAGTTGGCCTTGCAACCAGGAAGTCTTAGGCACAAGTCCTAGCCCTGACACACACTGGCTGTTATCTCTTAAGTAAAGCATTTAATCGGTCAGTACTCTAAGCAACAAGACTATAGCACTTGAACACTCTATATGTGTTCTTTGAATAAACGTGGTGCTGAAAGAAGCCAATCTGCATTAGTAGAGGCAGTTTCCCCATGTGGGAGTTCCCTGTACCCATGAAATCATAGGTTCATTCCCTGTACCTGCCTATAAACTGTTTTGGGCTCAATACTATTTCTTTTGAGAACTGTGGGTCTGGTTTTCTCAAAAAAAAAAAAAAAAGCCCACTATACTGTAACCTCTATTTCTTCCTCAATGCCAGAGGTTTTCTTGACCTTTTTCATGTCATAGACTCCTTTGGCAATCAGGTGGAGTCTATGGATCCCTTCTCTGAATAATGTTTTTAAATAACTGCAGGAAATACTCAATTTCAGTTAGAGATTAATGAAAATAGATAACTTTTTTCCCAGCCAAGTTCATAGTATCCCTGAAATCTGTGTGTGAACCTTTAGGTTAAGAACGCCTGCTTTATAGTATCACAGTTGGTGATCTCATCGACTCCCATGGGTTTGATTATCAACTTTACTCAGTTGATTCCCAGATTTACACATCCAGCCCTATTCTCTCTCCTGAGTTCTAATATTGCATCACCAATTGCCTTTTAGACATCTTGAAATGAATACGAAACTCAACACGTCATAAAGGAAGCACATTATCTTTCCCCAAAACTCCCTCCCCTTTTGCAAATTTCCCTGTTATTTTCTAGGGCATCAACATCCTTCCTATCATCTTGGTGTCAAACTTGATTCTTCATTTACACTCACCTCCTGTATCCAATCCATTGTCAAATCTTGTAATTTCTACCTTTGCAAGACCTCCTGGATACATCCCCTTTTTCTTCACTCACACAACTACCACCATGGTGCAGGCTCTCAACACTTCTTGCCTGGATTATTGCAATAATCTTCTATCTGATCCCTGCTTCAAGTCTCTCCTCACCCTAATTCATCATATACTCAGCTAATGAAGTGATTTTCTTAAAGCATAGATCTGACCATGCCACTCTTCCCGCTGATAAACTCTGGTAGTTCCATATTACCTCCAGGATAAAATATAGAATCCTTTGTTTAGCAGTTTATAAAGCCATTCACAACCTGGCCTCATCTTAACTTTCCAGGTTTCTTACACTATCCTCCTTGTCACACAACCTATGATCCAGCTACAATGGTCTTCTTGCTGTTCCTTGAACATGATGCTCCATCTCCTGACTGTGCATTTAGACAGGCTGTCCCCCAAGCCTGGAATGCTCTCTCTCCTTACCTCTGATTCCTGACTTCCCTGGATTACTTCAATTCAGCCAATCCCATCTTCTTCCTCAGACATTTCAATGGTGATTTTTGTTCAATTGACATTCCATTTTTTGCACTACATTATTAATTCAGTGGACAAGAGCTATGTAAACTGAGGGGAAGTGTGGGATTAAGGAAAGAGCCCTATATTTGGAGTAAGGGGACCTGGGTTTGAACCCTCTATTTCTGCTGTTTATGACCTTGGGCAAATCATTTCCCTTCCCTGGGCCTCAGTTTCCTCCTCTATAAAATAAAGGAGCTGGAATAGAGAGTTTCTAAGGTCCCTCCCAGGTCTGACATTCTAGAATTTTACAGTCTCTTTTTATTGTTTCATATCTTCTTTGTTTAGTCTGTCTTTAAGACACACCAACTACTCTTCTCACAGATACTTTAATCAAATAATGCCAAGAATCTCTGAGGAAAAACATACCATGTTTGGAAATCTGACTGGAAAAAAAATCCATGTTCCTTCTTGCCCCAACATATGTTGACTCTGTGAATGTATCAAAAGAGAAGAGAGACAGGTTCACTAGATTGTAATTTTCTAACTTTACTATCGTGATCATCTTTTAAATGCTCTCCAGCTCATAAATCATGGCCTAAAATGGTGTCCAGAACCAAACACAATACTCTATATGTGGTCTGAGTAGGAGAAAAATCAAGAGGATTAACACTTCTCTGGTCTTAGATTGGGTACCTCTCTTGTCATAGACCAAGATTACATTGGATCTTTTGGCTTCCATATTACATGGTTTATTTATATTGAGCTTACACACAACCAAAATCCTCATATCTTTTTTTCTCTTATCAAAAAAAAGGAGGAGCAGCTAGGTGATGCAGTGAATAGAGCACTGGCCCTGGAGTCAGGAGGACCTGAGTTCAAATCTGGCCTCAGACACATAACACTTACTAGCTGTGTGACTCTGGGCAAGTCACTTAACCCCGATTGCCTCACACAAAAAGGAAAAGGACCTATTTGTGCAAAAATATTTATAGCAGCACTTTTGTAGTGTCAAAGAATTGGATATGGAAAGGATACCCATCAATTGGGGAATGACTAAACAAGCTATGGTATATGATTGTTATGGAATGCTATTGTACTATAAAAAATGATGAGCAGGGTGGTTTCAGGAAAAACCTGGAAAGACTTACATGAACTGATGCAAAGTGAAGTGAGTAGAACCAGGAGATCATTGTGCACAGTAACAGCAATACTGTATGATTATCAACTGTGACTTAGAAACATAATGATCCAAGACAATTCCAAAGAACTCATGATGAAAAATGCTATCCACCTCCAGAGAAAGAGCTGATGGAGTCTGAATTCAGATCAAAGCATACTATTTTTCCTTTCTTTATTTTTTCAATGTGTCTTTGTCTGTGTTTTCTTTCACAACATGACTAATATAAACATATGTTTTGCATGATTGCAATTGTATAACCTATATCAAATTGCTTGCCATTGTGAAGGTGGGTGGGGAGGATGGGAGAGATTTTAGTACTCAAAATGTTTTTAATGATGTTAAAAAATTGTTTCTAAGGAGTGGCTAGCTGGCACAGAGGATAGAGCACCAGCCCTGGAGTCAAAAGGATCTGAGTTCAAATCTGGCCTCAGACATATAACATTCACTAGCTGCGTGACTCTGGGCAAGTCACTTAACTCCAATTGCCTCACCAAAAAAAAATTGTTTTTACATGTAATTGGAAAAAAATAAAATATTCTTTAAATTTTTTTTAAATCTATTCTCTCATTACTTCTCTGTCATCATATATCTATAAGGTCAACCTTTGGAATTTTGGGGCTTTCATACTTAAATGTCTTTATTCAGTCCATTCCCTAGTCATAGAATGCCATCCATCACCCATTTTCTCCTATTCAATTCTTATCCATCCTCTAAAACCCATTTAAAAAATGCTTTCTTCATGAAAACTTCATCTTCTGGGTCAGAATGAATGAACTAAGGAGCATTAATTAAGTGCTTACTACATGCTAAGCACTGTACTATCCACTGAAAAGTGAGACAGTCCCTCTCATCAAAAAAGTAGATACTTTCCTAGGGGTAGATAACAAATATCAGAGAGTGATAGTCAAGGAAGGAAGATTTCATAAGGGGAGCCACAGGGCTGAGGAGTTGTTCCAAAGGGCAGTCAATTGTCATTCCCTTTCCAGAAACAATAGTAGTGTTGACTTTATTTCTATACTCAGATCAAGAGATGGAAAAGCAGAGGTTATATGTACACTAGCAGGACAGCTGGAAAGATGGCCTGGTTGTATGGCCACACTGGAATGTGAAACGTGGTCTGGTCCAGGGATAGATGACTAGAATCCCAGAATCATAAATCATAGTTCTAGAGCTAAGAGGGACTGCCAAGGATATCTAGACCAAATCCTTCATTTTACACATGAGGAAATCGAGATTCAGAGAAGCCATGTGACTTGCCCAGGGTCACACAGCTAGGGAGAATCTGAAGCTGAATTTTGTGTAGTAAACAAGATGTATTTCAGCAGTTAGATGGAGCAGTGGATAGAGTGTAGGGCCTGGAGTCAGAAAGACTCATCTTCCTGAGTTCAAATCTGGCCTCAAACACTAGTTTGTGTGACCCTAGGCAAGTCACTTAACCCTGTTTGCCTCAGTTTCCTCATCTGTAAAATGAACTGGAGAAGGAAATGCCAAACCATTCCAGTATCTTTGCCAAGAAACCCCAAATGAGGTTGCAAAGAGTCAGACACAACTGAAATGACTGAACAACATCAAAAAAGATGTATTTGAACTCAGTCACTTACCAATTTATACAACTTAGGCACAGAATGAAAATTCCATAGCTGAGTGGCTTAATTTACCCAGAAACTGGATTATGGTGGTCCATTACAAAGATTGATACTCCAGATGGGAAGAAGTGATATAGAAGTAGGGGGAAATGGCAAGATGGTCCAGGTAGATCACTGAGTAGACATGAAAAGGTCAATAGCCACATTCTACTTCATGTTTATGTAATATTGCATTTAGTAATTGGAGCTGGTTTCATTCACTCACTAGACTGTAAACATTTTTCATTCAGTAGCCTAAATTCTGTGACACCCCCTGCCCCAACGACTAGTCTAGTTTTCTGCCCACAGGGAGTGTGGGACAGTATAAAAAGTTTGGGTTCAAGAATCCAATGACCTAGGTTCAAATCCTATCTCTGGCACTTATTACCTATATTGTCACTTAACTTCCTTGGACTTCATTCCATTTCTTCACTTACCTCACTAGATGACCTTCCAGCTTTAGACATATAGTCCTATGAAATGTTTGTGGCATTCTTTTATAAAACACACTATTCAAACACAATTCAGCCTGTTCATGCCCTTGTATTCAGTTCTGTGATTCTCTCATTGTGCATCTGTAATGTCTGTCCTAGAAAGATAAGTTGCTGGCTTAAAGGCACCCTATAAAATACACAGCAAGGCCATTCAATGAAGGTCCTGGAAAAGTATGTGTTTGTATGTTCTGGGAATCACACAACAAGGCAAACCCACAGGAAAAAAATTGAGAGTAAGCCAAGGTTGAAAACACTAATGAATACAAAATCTTCCTGCCTGAATAAAGGTATCAGCCTGATGCTATTTTTAAGCTGCTTAAAAGCAGTTCTAGTAGCAAAGCTGAACTATACCAGGAATCTATTGGGAGATTTAGTAACACTACACCCGAGTTCTTTACCTCAGGAGAGGACTCAAGAGAGCATTCGTTAACTGAATCAGGATGGGGAAAAATCTTCACTCAGCAAATGTCTGGCGTGCTTTGGCATGTGTGGATCATACCTGGAGAGGTAATGAATGGAACCAATAAAATAACTGAATAGAGGACAGATTAAAGTGTGGTGGTGCTACAAAAATTGCTGTGTCAAAAGAAAGACCATGATAGTACCACTTTGCTATTCAGATATGTGTCTAATTTTAAAATGCAAATTCATAATTTACAAGACTCGTCATGTTCGAAATAGAACTCATCCACTTTCCCCTTAAACCTGTTCTTCCTCCTAACTTCTATTTCTGATAAAGTCACCACTATCTTTCTAATCACATAGATTCATAAACTTACAGTCATCTTTGACTATTGCTATGAAACCATACAATTCTCAGCTATACCGACACCACCTTACTGTTTGAATAAGGTGGATATTTTTAGAATAGGACAAGACCTCCTTGATTCAAAAGTAGTACAAATCACTTAACCTCTCTGTGCCTCAGTTTCCTCATCTGCAAAATAGAGAGGATGAGAAAGAGGGAGCTAACCTAGGTGCTATTCTAAGTCCCTTCCAATTCTATGACAAACTCATTGATCCTCTCAGAGAATGTGAATTTTCTTCAGCTTTGAAATGGAAATAAAAATACCTGCCCTACTGTGATTGTTGTGAGAATTCAGTGAGATAAATAGATGTAAAGTGCTTTGTGACTACAAAGTGGCATATAAATATAAGCAATTATGTTCCTTCTAAGCCTTTTTTTGTATGAATACACAGTCTCCTAATAAATAAGGGTGAGGCAGGAATTAGCCACAGAAATACATTTCATTCCAAACACTCAGAGCATCATTTTATTTTGGCACTACTTTTTTTTTAATTTTCCTTGTTAGAAAAATAAAAAATATTGTTTTTAACAAAGAGAAACCATCTGAATGGAAACATGGTACTATATTTCATACTGTAACAAGGTTTCAAAAGCGGGGTGTATTGCCCAAACACCTGTTTTTTTCTTTCCCATCTGAGGCAGAACAGCAGAGCTATTCACTCTCCCATATGAGCCTCGCATACGTCATTATCTTACTGATCCTGCCCACAAAGCACTGAAGCCCTGGTTTTTTTCCAGCTCCTTTCCTCCCATTGGATAGCAGGCTGTTATTTTATTTTTCCTATCTCCTGCTGTTCCTTTTCTGTAGCAGCCTTTGTGCAAGGGGCCTCATAAGGAGATGAAGCTGACAAACATCAGATCATTGAAAACCACCTTTTGTAGCTCCCTTTGTAGGGAGAATGCATGCCTCCATGACTTATCAGGCTTCTGAGAGGGCCTTTGGTGCCTGGCAGCAGCGCCGGCTTGCCCTGTTGCTAAGACTCATCGGTCTAGAGTGTGTGTCATTCGGAAGTCATCACAAAGAATCAAACAGAATAACCTAAAAGAATTAGTTTCTAGTTTTATTAATGCCCTAAGCTGAGGGATAACCAGGTGAGAACTTTCAGGTTGTTGGCCATGAGGTCTAAGAAAGCCCTACCTACCGTACAAAGCTAAAGTGGCCTGCACTTTTAAATCTGAACTATTCTACTGTTTCCCATTGGGCCAAACTCTTTGATGGGAAGTTTCTCATTAGCAGTATCTCCCCAAGATGACACCATCCAGGCCCCAGGCTTTGAGGGTTGAACCAGCAAGGCAATGCTCCAGAAGGATGCCTATGGGAGAAAGTAATCACTAACCACCAGTAAAACAAAACTAGAGACTCTTACATGAATAATCAAACA